GGACAACGACCAGAGCATCCCCCCTCTTCAAGGTCCAGGTCCCATTTTCCCTTCTGATAAAATACCTTGACTGCCTTACGTCGCGATAATCCCGCCCGCGCACACGCCTTGTCACTTTACTGCACTCCCGACACCGTCGCTATCGCCAGAATTTTGGTCGCTATAACTTTCTCGTTATACTTCGCGACCTTTTTTCATTGCCTCTTGCTTTTGGGGTACGCGCGACGTTGCTTTTGCGCGTAGAGCTATCCTTCCACCAAGAGCTTGTTTACCCGACGCGCCCCAAGTCTTGGTGTTAATCAACTTATTCTTGGTCTCCCACAAACCATCACTACCACCCGCACCTCAAAGGACCCCTCAACATTGGAATTCAGCCTTTTCTTTTCCTGTCTCGCGTGGATCATTGCCTCTTCTTACCTTTATACCGCGTAATTACGCGAGTGCATCATGTTCTACTCAGAGACTTTGCTCAACAAGAGCGGGCCGCTCGCCCGCGTCTGGCTTTCTGCCAACCTCGAGCGGAAGCTATCAAAGAATCACATCCTCCAATCCAATGTTACAGACAGTGTAGAGGCCATCCTCATGCCTAGCCAGGCGCCGATGGCCTTGCGACTAAGTAGTCAGCTGCTTTTGGGTGTGGTTCGAATCTACCAAAGAAAGACGCGTTATCTTTTGGATGATTGTAATGAAGCTATGATGAAGATCAAAATGGTAAACCCTTCCCATGATGCGTTGCATGACCGAGTACACTAACTCCTTCAAGGCATTTCGGTCTTCGGGCAACAACGACATGGCCGTCAACCTACAAATCCCCAACCGAGAATCCCTGACCCTCCCTGACAGAATCACCCCATACGATAATTTCGAACTACCTCCTCCACCAGACGCGAACTGGCTTTTGTCTCAAGTGGAGGATGTGACTGCTGCTCCAATTGGCCGCAAAGGACGCGCTAGTCAGCGTGACATCAACCTTCAGGAAGATTACGATAACAGCCAGTTTCTCAACGATGGCATGGGAATGGAAGATGACATGATTGCACCGATGGGGAACATTGATCTGGAATTGGATTTTGGTCTTGATGATCTTGGCCTTGAAGGGACAGGTCTTGAGCCCGAAGGTGGCCGAAGGGAAGATCGCACAGCGGCTGGTCCCGAGATTGATGATTCAGAGCTTGATTTTCCCCAAAAGGACGACGATCGAGCGATGACTTTAGATCTGCCCGACGAGCGCGTTCAGATTCATGACGGCGAGGATCATGGCCTGATGGACATCGACTTCAACCCTGACGATGTCTCCCAAGTACATGATATCGCAACTTACCCTCCTCCTCGAATCTCAGAGTCCCCGCTTTCCGACATCGACGAAGACCGGGTTGCACAGCTAGAACAGGATCACTCGAGATTCCAGATGGCGGATCTTTATGAACCCGACCACGAGGAAGACCAGATTATTCGACGACCAGCACAGCGCGCCAAGAAACAGAAGATCCTCACACCTGATGAAGAAATTGCTCTGTCAAGTAACCACATCAAGCAACAGCAAGCCAACCGTGATAATATCATCAGGGAGGGTGGATTCCTTCCCCGTGACCCCTTTCTTCTGGCTTTGATGGATATGCAAAAGAGCGGAGGATTCGTGTCGTCAATCATGGGGGAAGGCCGAAGCTCAGCCTGGGCTCCAGAGCTTCGCAATATGCTCACACTAGACACTGCTCGTGGCATGAACGAGCTCAAGCGCAAGCGTGACAGCGGCATTGCTGACGTCGAAAGTGACCATGGCGCTTCCAAGTCACCACGTATGCTCGATGTCGGTTCAGACACTGGACTTGGTTTCGAGGGCGCTTTCGGTGAAATGAGTATCCCCCCAGAGGAAAGCCGCCACGAAATCCTCGCCGATGATGAGATGGAGGACGAGGATGCAGGAACCATGATGCCTGGCTTTGAAGATACGACTGTTGCCCTGGTCCATCCTGCTGAGAGCGGTCCTGTTTCTCAAGTCACGAAACACGTAGTGCACCAATTGCGAGAGCGATTTGGTGATGATGCTGCTGACAGCCCCAGCAAGCGAACTCAGAGAGCAGTTCTCCTCCAGAACCTCTGTCCTAGACAACAGACCACCAAGGCCGATGCTACCAAAATGTTCTTTGAATGTCTGGTTCTGGCGACCAAGGATGCTATCAAAGTCGAGCAGGGTCCTGGTCTAGGAGATGACATCCGGATAAGGGCGAAGCGTGGACTCTGGGGAGCTTGGGCGGAAAGAGAAGCTGGTGGTGAGATGTCTCAAGACAATGACGCCCCGAACGAGCCCGAGCATGCTGCAGTTGCTTCAACAGCAGTTGCTGTTTCAGCATAACCTGACAGGTCGGGCGGTTTTGCTTATTGCATCTTAACGAAAACTTGGATGGGCGGCGTATGTCAGGTTATATAAACTATTGAATTCCAGCATTCTGGGGCAGTCACTCAGGGGTTCGCCCAGATGGTGTTGTCGGCGTTTCGGGAGATACCACGGCTTGCGGTACTTGGATGGATTGGTCGTAGCTCTTTGGGAAAACGGCAGAGGTGGACGTGCAGCAGTCTATTTTATGAACGAGTTCTGTCGGACATTGCATTAGTAGTTGAGTTAAGTAGTAAAGAACGGTCACTTGTATTTCGACCTTTAAAGATTTTCTCAGCACCTCGGTGATGCCATAGTGAAATACTTTCACAGCTGTTCAACGCGGTCAAGCGCGTCGAAAGAGCCCCGCCATTTAAACCCCCACGTAATTACGTCTAACATGATCTCACTTGCTTTCTCCATTCGTTTTCCAGGCATCAGACACCAAGCAGGCACCCAAATAACAAAAGCCCCTTTTCTCATTGCCTAAGAGCCAGGCTTGCACATAAAAACACCGAAACTCGCCAAACATCTAGTCGATCGTTGAGTAACGCCGAACCAATCCACCATGCCGCCGCCTTCCCAACTCGCCATCGCTACAGGCTCTGTCAACCGACTGCTCAAAGAGGAGGCTTCATACCACAAAGAGGTTGAGGAGGAGGAAGCCAAGATCAAGGCTCTGAAGGAGAAGATTGATAGCGGTGCAAACGATGATGAGAACGCTTCGTTCATGCTTAAACAGCAGGTCAGTCCGAAAGCCATCACCTTGGTATTTGGCCAAGAAAGTCGATCTAATGCAACTTAGCAAACTGCCCTTGAGCAGACAAAGGCCGTGTTCGGACCCCTACGACAAAAGATCGCTGTCGCTGTTGAGAAGCTGGCGGAGCAACTCGCCGTGAGCGAAGAGCTGAACGCTCCGGAGGACCAGGTGCTGCAGGCCAAGGAAGCGCTGGTAAAAGCCAAAGCTACATAGGCCGATCCTAATAGAATCATGAAGCAGAACAAAGGGAGGACACTTTACGATACCACTTAGAAGACGCTTAGTAAAAACACAAAGGGAAACGCTTCTGGACCTTCATTTATGAGGGTATCTTACGATATAATCGATAGTGCAAACAGCCGAGTGGAAACTCCTAATTATCTACTTCCATCTTGTCACCATTACTTTCAGGTGGCTCAACTGTCACCTGGGGTGTCATTCCTCCGTCATCTTGGGCTCGACTGAACTCAGACTCCTCCATGTCAACATCCTCTCCCGATTCTGCCTTGCGCTCGTCGTGTGGCGGCATAGGTGAAACATCCCGACTGGGAGCCTGGCTATCTCCCCGGCTTTGCGACTCATTATGCCCAGAAGGTGGCTTAAGCGTGTCTGGGCCTGGTGTATCCCTCATTGGTGTTGTCCCTCCATTGAGAGCTTCTGGGTTTGGTGTACCTGCGTCCCCGTCTACCTTCACCTGGCTATCCAGGTCGGGATGAGGTGTCGCGTTACCGCTCGGTTCGTTTCTGGGTGTCTGGCCGACCTTGTCCACTTCGGCATCATCCTCGGCATCCTCATTCATACCCTCTCGACGATCGACCTCCTCCTTTTCATCTCTAATCTGTCGCCGTAAGAGCATCCCTTCTTCCATGATTCTGTTAAACTGTTCTCGCCGTTCTCTCCAAGTTTCGCTGTAGGTTTCGCTCTCTCGCTCTAGCTCTCGACACTCTTCCTCGAGTTTAGCAAGGTTGGCGATTTGGTCTTCACGTGGTCGAAGAAGCCGGTTCGATGTGATTTTCTCCGCTAGCTCATCGAATTGTTTGCGCTGTGCGAGGGTGGCTTGTGCTGCCTCGAGCTGCTCTCGAAGTTGGATATTGTTTTGTCGTACTGATTGGCAATCGGCGAGGATACGATCTTGGTCGACTCTGTAGCGCTCGCGTTCTTGAGAATTTGCGTTGTGGAGGAACTGCATGCGCGTGATACTGCTGCCAAAAGCATCGAAGTCAAGGTTCATGTCCTCCTTGAGCTGCTTGAGTTTGGACTTGATATCTTCAGAGGTATTGGCTCCATTAATAGCAGGATCAAATGGTAGTAAGAGCTGTGATATGGTATTGATTCGTTTGGTGAGACGCTTAAAAGGCTTCTCTTCCACATTGAGGAGGCGAGTCTTGTGAAGCTCAGCCTCTTCCTCAGGATCCAAGAGATCCCATGTGGATGCCATGGTTTGTGGTCGAGTCGCGATCGGATGAGAATGTTTGTGTAGTTTCTACGTGGGGATATAGATCCGCAGAAAAGACGAAGAAAGATAGTATGTCGGTCGCGACGCGTCCCAATCGTTAGAATATTATTTGATTAAGCCTTGCATGAATAGATTTTGAGGAAGTTGAAAGGTGATTGACAACAAAGCTCAGCCTTGTGATAGCGTTTCAAGATGCGAAAGCAGCCAACCAATGATACTTCGGAGTGATGATGACTAAGAATGCTTCTTTGATGATGCATCCTGCCACCCGCCTCCGACTGCTCAACGCCTCACTGTTATTTACATACAACTTGCAATAATCCATCCCAAACACTACTAATTTTATCCCTAAAGCCACTGCGCCCCTTACAAAGGCACAGTCAATTCCGTCGCATCAAGCCATTAACAACATGTCAGAAGAGGAACGAGAACTTCTGGCTCGTATCAGTCAAGTCGCAGGTTTGTGCCCCTCGCGCATCATAGTAATTTCAATTTGCTGATAAATCCTAGGCCAGATCAACCGACATAAGAACCAGCAAGCGGGCTCTCGAGGATCTCCAAGCCTTCATCCTGCTCATCATCGTCGTATGCGGAAACTTGCCCTAAAGGGAGATCACTACTGATATGCCCAGAAAACTCCTATCGACATGCGAGCTCACCGTACCCAGCTCGCCATAACAGAATCGGCCGCCACCCTACGGCGCATCACAACCGGTCCCTTCACTTGAATGGCGACAACTCAACTGCTTCTCGGTCTGCCAGTAGTGGCGCTGAAACACCCCCTGGATGGGTTTCCAGAACCGATCGCCACCGACAACTCATTAACGCCAACGTTTACGAGAAGGAAACCCAGAATCGAGCCAAGGCCATGGAAGAAACACGCCAGAGAAGGATCAGTGGACGCCGGCAACGCGAGAAGGCTCAATTCAACGAGTTTCTGAAGCATCAAGCTACCACTTCGAGTGCGCAGACTAACCCCGCAGACCGCAACGTGCTCACCGTCGAAGGTGTCCAATTCCGCGTTATGGACGGTGGCAAGAAGCTTGTCAAGATTCCTGGTGCGTGCAAACTTCGGTGCGACTCTGACGCTTGTGCCTTACCCGCTGCAGATGCCCTCAACTCCTCCTCACGAACTCCAAAGTTTGCCACTGTTGCTGGGGTCAAGTTTTACCGAACCAAGACAGGAAACCTCGTTGCAAACAGATTCGTCAACGACCAACGGTACGAAGGTCTTTTTAGTGAGACGAAGTTGCTGACAAGGTCAAGGCGAACCGGCACGGTCAAGAAGATAAATCAACTGTGTAAAATCTTCTCAACGACTGGTAATTTCTCTTCCCCAGGCTGGAGTGCTACACATCTCCTTTACCTAGACCGGCCCAGTGGCCATGGGGCGAAACTGACGAGTATTTTGCACATAGGATCATGCACCAAAGGCCCTCGGTGCCGCTACATTCACGACCCGAACAAAGTGGCACTCTGTAAAGATATACTGAAAGATGGGCAATGTGTCAACGGCGAGTCTTGTGACCTCTCCCATGACATGACTCCTGAGCGCACTCCCAACTGTTTGCATTTTGCCAAAGGCCACTGTGCCAAGGCTGACTGTCCCTATACTCACTCTAAAGCATCCCCAGCCGCCCCAGTTTGTCGCAATTTTGGTTTCAACGGGTACTGCGAGATAGGAGCAGAGTGTACTGACCGTCACGTTTTTGAGTGCCCTGACTTTAGCAATACCGGCCGCTGTAAGGTCAAGGGATGTAAGCTCCCACACCGTGAGAGGGCAAGCGTCCTTCGAAACAAAACCAATGCCGCTGGCGAGCCTCTTGGAGACATTTCAAGTGATGACGAAGCTGCTGATTCCGACGATGTTGATTCAGATGAAGTTGCCGAGTTCATTGATGCAGACTCGGACCTCTCCGATTTTGAAGAACACAAGGACTTCCTATCGATCTAGATCAATTCATCATGTCTGTTTCTAGCAAGTAGAAGCAGACAACCTCGGATTTCAGCCTGTTGTTCTTTCTTGGCGTCTGGAGACTGGGACGGGATTCTGGTAAATGATTTCAAGATACCCATGACTTATCGGCGCCTGTAAAGGTTTTGGCTATGAAATGCCACCAGCATATCATTAAACAAAGGAAAAGAAACAAAAGATGAGCAAAAGCATGCGGTCATCATTATGAACACATTCTGTGTTCAAAACAGTACCGAAGATAGTAGATATGTATTGAATGAAAGAATCTGTTTCCGTTACTGTGTATGACCATAAGGCAGTATTAGTGATAACCTAGGTGATTACTGTAAAATATCTAGGTTGAATGGAGATCCAGGATCCCCTCCTGGCTGTCCTGATAGGGAGGTACCTTGGACGCGGGCAAAACAAGGTGGCATTGTATGTATGTCATCAAGGATGAGGGGCATTGTTAGGTTCAAGGGACTTAGCTAATATTAGTAACAGCCCAACAGGTGCATTGAACATTTGACTTGGCTTATTTGACATGAGAGCAAACGGACAGCTTCATATCTTATTGAAAGCAAGCTTGAGAGATTGGGTTATGGCCCGATTTGGAAAACATCTTTATAAGAAACTATGATATATTGTTACCTATCTTGACCTTTGTACACCACAATGGCTCTAGGTACCTAAGTATTCTTTGAAGTTTGAAACGAACCAGGAGTTGCTGATCTTTGTTGGCGCTTACAGTAGGCAGACCAGAGATCTGAGAACACCAGTCACATCGTGCAGGTTCAATGACAGTTCTGGTACAAGAAACCACAAAGCCTCGACTCAGCCTCAATCCATCTCGGTCTGCCTGTGCCTTTTACTCGTGTCTGTTTGCGGTACTTTGGAGGAATGAGTAAAGCGCCAGCAACTTAATAAACATGCCGTCCTCACTCGACTCGACGGTATTGACCTGATCTTTAGCTTATTTCGTTGATCCCGTCGTCTCGTTCTCGATTGGGTTGTTTGCTTCGCGAATCGCTGTGTAGATCCTTATGAACGGGCCCATCCGCCTCTGGGCTGTCATCAATACAGATACCTAGTCACTGATTACAACCCTGCAAACCTCTCTCAAGTACATATTACCATTGCCATTAGCGAAAATGGGCATACGCGATATTCTCAAGAAGAAGGACGACCTCTCCACAGGCCAACCGCCTGAGAGAGGCACTATCGATCACCTGGCAGCCCCCGAATTTACCATCATCCGCTCCGATACCTCAACCCAAGAGCGCATCTACCCGCCCTCGCTGAAGTCTGTCGACAATCTACATCTCGCAGTCCAAGAACCCAAAGAAAAAGACAAGCCTCGACGATCCCTCGATGTCTTCCGATCCGGTCGATCGCGCTCTGCTTCAGAGTCGAGCCAGACAAAGAAAGAGAGCGGCGCCCGTCGTCTGTCTCAGCGACTGCACCTGAGCCGGGCACCTCCATCGTCCGAGAACGTCCCCGAGAACCTGCCCGACATTGTTACATCAGATGAGGCGCAGTGGGAGAAGCGCGCGACTATGCTGGCGGGTCAGAATAACCGCGCCAGGAGCAACAGCAGGCCTGGCACGCCCTCGGACAGCAGTAGAGGCGAAGAGCGTGCTGTTTCGTCGCAGCAGATTGATCAGGATATTCAAGAAGCCATTCGCCTGCACGAGGAGGGGAATCTGGAGTTGTCGACACGCATGTTTGGGCGCCTGGCTGATCCTCAAGGCGCCAACAACCCGCTCAGCCAAGTGTTGTACGGCCTTGCTTTAAGGTGAGTAACACCGGATAGAATATCAATGTCTCGGGTGGAGCTAGAGTTTGAAGCTCTGGAGACGGTTGAGACTCCAAACCTTGATACTCACGTTGAGCGATACCCGAAACCTTGTACCAACCTTGTCTTGTCTTGTCTTGCGATCTAATCTATCGAGATGAGTTGATTTACATGTCTCGAACGCTAACATGACTCGTGTTGTACAGACACGGATGGGGTTGCGCTCCAGATCCAGAGGGTGCCGTCAAGTATCTTTCAGCTGCAGCCTCCAATTCTGCATCGATCGAGCAGATGGCTCTCCAGGCGGGCATGAAGAAGGGTGGAGCTGCAAAGGGAGAGCTTGTTCTCGCCATTTTCGAGCTGGCCAACTGCTTCAGACATGGTTGGGGCATTGAAAAGGATGCCTACGCCGCCAAGCAGGTACGTCGACTCTGACTCTTATGGGAGTGGCATCAATTGCTGACCATTGGCTTCACTGTAGTATTATGAGACTGCGGCGAATCTAGGAGATACTGGTAAGTCGTACATGCACGAGCTGAGAACACAGTCTGACACTATTTGATAGATGCCATGAACGAGATTGCCTGGTGCTACGTCGAAGGCTTCGGGTGTAAGAAAGACAAGGTATGTTGCACCAGAAGCCATTTACTCATGACTGCCTGTCTGGCCGGTTCAAGAGCACTCTGTACATGAGCCGTATCGAGGCCATGGCTGCAGAGATGCTCTCGGTGAGCCTGGGTCACTTGATTCGTCGAGAAACCGGCACCCAAACCAACTCACTGCCCAACTCATTCTGTCAGAATCTGTCAGAATCTGTCATCGACTCTGACCGTTTCTATACGTTTAATGATGCTTGATTCTTTGCATGAGGCTGATGTCCTGTACAGTTCGCTGCAGCTCGGTATTATCGACTGGCTGAGAAGGCCGGTAATAAGACACTAGGGAACTCTTGGTAAGTCCACAGGCCAGAACCTCCCTCTGCCCATCGTCCTCCAGTGTTGTTGTGGCGATCTGTATTTCGATAGGCTCTCGTCGACTCCGCTTTGCCCGGGAGCTACAGGACCTGGTGCCACGGAGGGCGTTCTATCGATTGGTCTTGACCCCCCATCATGCATCATACAATTCGATGGACAACCGCTGATTCAAGCATCTTGCATTAGGATCTGGAAGGAGAAGTACGACCCTCCGGGCGAGGGCAACCGCAAGTAGTGCAACTGTAGCCATGTGCCACTGTGACTGAGAGGTGCATCTCCGCGACATATATGCCGTATAAGAGGAGGAGCTGGAGGAGGAGGTGAAGTTGATGAGACAGTCAACCACATAGTTTTGATTCGCCCCTTGGATGCACAGCCAACCTTTATCCCGTATTGATGTAACTGATTTAGGGGTGTCTTGCTCACATCAACATACCTATATGTATACTTGCTAGATACGGTTGGGCAGATAAGACTGTGGGGGTTTGTGTGTGCTTGTGTCTCGACATCTTACTATTTTTGAGTATATAGATAGAGTACAGGGTATTTCCACCTTGCGTCTTGTTGTACATATCGCAACACATTATCTGAGTGGTTCTCTACATATCATTACGGTTAAGACCATTGGTGTAGCAGCCGTGCATCGTACATCGTCCATCGTCCATCGCCGCCATCTCGCGATGCATTTTCCCTCTTCTCTCACTCTGGACCTCGTGACAAAAACCCTACCAATCCCACAAGGCGTTTATTATTGATGCCCAACGTCGGTAGCCTAACAGCCTTCACATTGTTATTGGGCGTCTTAGTCATGCGGCCTGTTAACACGGCCCGGTCGAGGCCTACATGGCCAAGGGTGCACGGAGGATTGTCACGGTTCATCGCTATAGCGGGCCTGTTATAGGATCAAAGTGAACTCATCTTTCTTCAGGCGGAGATGTCATATATTGAGAAGGGAGCTTGGCAATAGTGAATGGATTTGGAAGCGCCATACCCTGTAATTAGTGATTGAAAACCCAGCGTTTGAACTTGGTCCATTCGTCTCCTCAGGCTCTCAAGACCATCGCATTTTTATCCCATGCATGGCCAGTGATAGGTTTATTTTCCAAGAAGTGCGTTTGTTCCTTGCGTCGAGAACCCGAGGGAATAATCTCAAGACCCCCAGCTAAAGCTATCCCTTCAGCTCAACGCCCTGTAATGCAATGACATGCAATGTAGCCACGCTCGGCAAGTTCAAGGATTCCCCATATCAAAGAGCAAAGCCATAGTGGCGCAGAGTCGATATATACGTGTTGAGACTATCGGCATAAACATGAGGCCTACTACTTAACTAACGTTAGCCTCTTGTGAGAAGACGAAGACTTGATTGTCATTCTTATTTGCGCGCCAAATCAAGTCAACTCCTCAGTTACGTACATAGGTACATACGCTCATCTACCTAGCTGATGTGCGCATCCCGTGCCGTCCCAGCGCCGCGCATTGGCAAGACATTGTCTAAGACAAACCACCCTCTCGCGCTGACACCCACCACTTACATCTTCTAGCCTATTATCGACGACCGGTCTAGCATATGTCTCACCCGCTAGTTATCTTTTATCAATTCTCGTTTCAAAACTAGCACCCGCTCCCCTTCCTCTTTTGGGACCTGGTCCGTTCAAAATGAGTGTGTGTATAAATAAAAGTCTGCCTAAGCAGATATCCGATGATATGACATAACTGTTCACGAGGTAACATCGGCATCATGATCGTCACAAATACTGAATGTAACTATTGAGATGGATAAGGTATTCTTTGTTTGATGCTCGCCGCGTGAAAACTATGTAATTCCAGATAATTATCCATGCCATATAATATTGTACAACTAACCAGATCACCTGGAACCGGAGGTTGTTGTAATGAATCGAACTAATTCCAAACAAACAAATAAATGGTTCATCGACGAGCTCGTATCATCGTCATCATAGACCATTTCAGTCATTGTCGTCTTCAGACGTATGCCAATTTCCATCTCCATCCATATCCTTTCCATACACCGCGATAGTATCAAGACTCTTCATGGACTGGGCCCTCATAGAATCTGCCTGCTCCTTCTTGCTGGCTGCTGTTTCGCCGCAAGTGTCCACACACCCAATCTGGTTCACACCCGTCCACATCGACCACATCCCGTTCGCCGTTACCAAAAGAGAGGTATCCAATTTCGAGAGAGGAAAACCGATGCCACGCTGGGGAAAATCACTCAAAAAACAAATCAATGCACGCTCGCTTGCTCGATCCATAGGAAATCAGAAAGACCCCGAAATAGGAAATCCACAAGAAACGACAAAAGGAAGACAAGAAACCATCCATTTGGGTGCGTGAGCAACATGTCTGGAGTGCGCGAGAGCGACATCGAGTATATGGCAGCTCATCCCCCATTAAGAGGAAGGAAAATAGCCGACTTACAAGGAAAATAAGTGACAAAAGAAAAAGGAAATAGAGAAAAATGAGAACAAGTATTCAAAGCCGTTCGAGGCTAAGCCGTGAATTCGTCATCGTGACTTTTTTTTTTATATTCTTGATTCGTGTCTTCGTTCATGTCCTTAATTCGTTGCATTGCTGCTCATTCTGCGCGCTGTTGCATTCTGACACCATTTTCGCAAAGTTTCGCACAACATCGTTGGGAATCTGGTCCCACAGAAGTGAGCGCGTGTACACTTCGGCTGCATCGTTTTGTTTGTTTGGAATTCGCATCGTCGCAAGTGCTTCGGCTAGATTTCGGCGACCTTGACTGGGTGATGATCTTTCAGGAGCGTTCTGGAGGAAGTCTTGGGAGTTGACACCATTATACTGAGCAGCTGATAGAGAAAAGATTTGCTCGTTGGTCTGCTCCTGAGTCGGCTGAGTCAGCTGGTCACCAAGCTCACCGAGCATCGAAGGTGCAACACCATCCATCGCCATGTCATTCATGGAGATGGTATTGCCCCAATTAGCAGCACCGGATGGTTGGGGGGCAGCTTGCAGGCTGGTCGATTGAGAGTTGACACCAGCATCCTTGAGAACGTTGTCGAGAATGGTGGCCGAGGCCGCCCTGACATCCTCGGAAACGCGAGGAATAGCAGGGGTCGAGCGGCTGGAGAGGACGAAGGCACCGACGAGGAAGAGCATGAAGAGGAGGCCACCCTGGGCGGCAGGCTTTTCACTCTCGACGAAGGGGTTGTCGTTCTTCTTGGTGGAAACAATAGCCATCTCCTGCTTGACTTCAGGCTCTGGATAATCGTGGAGGAAGTTCGAAGCATCCCATGCACCAGGCATGCCCAAGCCGTCCATGGCGTCCATGGCATCGAAGCCGTTTGAGAAGCCATTGTCTCCGGTGGCGGGAACGGCGCTATCGAGTCGTTGAACATGGTCCGTGAGAACGCTGATCTTCTTCCTCAGTTCGCCAGTCTCATTAGTGTGAACACGGATCATCTCCTCTTTGTCCAACCTCTGGGTCTCAATGAACTTGATGCATTCCTGCTTTTCGAGGGCCAGTTGTTCAACCCTAGCATGGAGCATCTTCAGCTCTTCCTCCATGTCAGTCATCAGAGCGGTATATTGCTTCTTCTCATCCTCTAGACGCTCAGTATGCTGCTTCTTGCGTTGTCTCGAGTCAAGGCTGACGATAGTTAGCATGAAATCTTGAAAGTAAACTCATGTTGACGGTACTTACGCTGCTTGTCGGTTACGGAGCAATCGCTTCTGCTGCTTGAGCTCCTTAATCTCTTGTTCGTCGGTGGACTGAGAAATAAGATGGTCGATGTTGCTGAGGTTCCGCTCTGCTGGAATATCAAAGCGAGCATTCTTCTTCCGAATACCGTCGCCGCGGCGCATCTCATTGTGAGAGCGGAGACCGGGGCTGTTAGGGCGCATTTTGTTCTTGTTAATGGGCTGCTGAGGGGTCATCCACTCTTTCTGGGGAGATGTGGGGATAGACTGGGAGCCGACGGGAAGTGACGGGAACATGTTCCCAGGGTTTGTGAAGGGTGTTGGGCCGGCCATGGGTCGGTGGAAGAGAGAGGCGTTGGCGTCATATTCAGCAGGAACACCATCGAAGGGATTCAGAGGAGTGCAAGTGCCGGAGGTGTTTCCGAACCAGTTGGCAGTGGCAGCGAAGCCATTGTTCTGAGTGTGATCAGGGCGCATAAAAGGGTTGTTGCTATGCTGATCAAAGAAAGGATTGTTGGAGGAAACCGACTGCATTTCGACGGATTGCCAGTCCTCTTGTTTTGGTGAGAAGAGAGGAGGGCCGACAGCAAAGGATTCTCGACGACTGTCAGCCATGGGGGGCGATAGTTCTAAGCCCGAATCGATTGTGTTGTGTTCAAGAATGTTGTCGTCCAATACACTGTTGTCTTCGTCTTCGAAGTACTTCTGTGCGTGTTGTGTATCCACGGTTAGAGAGGCTGGACGATAAAAGGGTTGTTGCATTTGAAATGTTGAAGTCATTGTGGTGATGTGAGATTGAGTGAGAGAGTGTGTGTTAAGTGAGGTCTTGTGTGGGTATATGTAAGAGAACAGGGCGGGGAAGTTTAGAGGAAACAGTGGAAGCAGGGAAGCAAGGCTGCAAAGAGAAAATAGGAGCCAAGAAGGGAAGGGTGGAATCTGAAGAAGAAGACCCAGATTCGGAATCAATATCAATCAATATCAATGTGAAGAGCACAGAGGCACAGAGGAAAGCGAAAAGAGGTTGGGATTCGGGGGAGGGGCGCGAAATAATAAAGTACTGGAGTACCCAAGCTAAGGTATCATTATTTTTTTCTTTGCGCGCGGGAGACTCAAACAATGTTTGGTGGGCAAGGCCGAACCGTAGTGTGGGCAGCGGTGAAGGACGAAACGGGTACGGGTGTGTATTTTTGGCAGCCTGCCAAGTTTTCACCCACCCAGCATCCAGCAGCTCACCTCACTTGTAGGGAAGGAAGGAATGGCAGGACAGGGCAGGGGCGTGTAAGGTGAGGTGAGGTGGGCTTTGAGAACCTGGAAGGAAGCCAGAAAGCCCGACCCTCCGGAGAGTGCTTGGGTGGGGTTAAGTGCCAGGCCAGGCCAAGCCAGGCCGATGCGGATGCGAAAAGGGTACGGAGTACAGAGAGTGTGACTCAGTGTTCGGCGGGAGAATCGGGGGGATGGCTCGTACCTCTCGAGTATTTCGGTACTCCAGTTTGTGGCCAGGATACCTACTAAATTGAATGGAACGGGTGATAATGAAGGAGATGGGCTTGCAAG